CCCACCCCCCCCCAGAGCAATGGGACTGAATGGGATTTTGTCCATTACTCACGGAGCTTCCATCAAATTAACTCACAGGTGAATTGGTACTTTAAGGATTAACAAAAATAGGTCTTTCGCTCTGTCAGGTGGAGAGCTTGGACAATCTGCCCTAAGCAGTCACCTCCCGGCAGGATTTGGTAATAACAATATACAAAAGTGATCCCGGGCAAGGTGGGGAGAAAAGGAAAAGATGCAGCCATAGGTTAAAAACGGGATACAAAAGGTCACGAGTTCTCCGGCAGGGGGTTGCCTGCAAGGTACGTTACAAACATGGTCACAATGTCCTGAGCACGCAGCAATCCAGCACCTCTTGGGGAGATGGGAAGTGTTCCTGTAGAGAGCAGGGATCTGTGTTGGAGGCCTCTCACCTTTGGGAGCAAGTGTCCGTTTCACTTCTGCACAGTGGCAGAGGGAGAAGTTGTTTCATCTCTGCATAAAGTTTCTTTCCAAGGCAGCAGGAGTCCTCTGGAGGGAGTGGATATTGCGCTTCACCCGATCTTCCAGGGTGGAAGTAGATGCACTCTCCAGTTTTAAGCGACTGCAGAGAATTGAGCCAAAAGAGGGAAATCAGGATGGAGCCAAAAGAGACAAATCTTTCCAGCAGGACTCTTCATCCTGGGACATCTACCTCAGTCTAGCAGAGAAGCCAGCAAACGAGTTCCTATTAAAGTCTGCACTAAACTGAATACCTCTTAGTCTGGCTTGTAACAGCTCCAGGGCCTGATTTAAGGTCAGGAATACACCTGCAGTAGCTCTCTCCAGTCTCCTCCATTTAATTACAAACACAACCAGCACTGGGGACTCAGTTGCTTCCTGTGAATCAAGCGAGGGAAAAGCACTGTGTTCCTGAAGGGAGGACAGCATTCCTCAGGGACCAGAGCTCGTGCTGTACATGGCTATGTTAGTGCCAGGAGAGAGGAGGGATCCTTGCGACCACTCACTTGGTTTTCCCACTTCAGATCTCAGTGCTGTGCTTTGCTGAATCCCTTCCTGCCCATCTCAGTGTGCAATAAACACCGTGACAGTTGCAATTAAGCCACATAATGTGAACCCAGCTCTGGGCAGCTTTGGAAATTAAGTGTATGTTCTCCTCTGATTCATTTATAGAGCCTGAAAATACTACTCCAAAATACCTATCACTGCCCTAGAACCTTTCTTAGACACCACTGCCTGTTCTGGAAGGCAATTTCCTTTGCTTGCCACGTGCACAAGGGCTGTAAGTTACCCCCATGTTTAGAAACGGTCTTATTTCTTGCTGAGTACAGCTTCCAGACCCACAAGCTCTTGGCACACAGTGGCTTTGCAAGCCTGAAACTGTTGAAAGCTCCTAAAACCAGAGAACTTTTTAATCTCTCTATGGAAAGCACTACTAGACATTTCCAGAGGTTGGCAAAAAAATAACTGATACCTGTTTCCAAGTCTTACTTTCAAGGCCACGACAGAAATAAGTATCTTTTGGGTTCAGAAGAGTTTGGCAACAGATGATGTTAAGTTCTACTGTAAAACACAGTAGAGATGGAGCTTACACCATTATCTGAAGCATCGCAAACACTGAGGCCATCACTGTCTCCTCGGACACTGGGCCTGTATTTCCCTTGGGTGACAAAGCAGACAACAAGAGACACTCACTTGAAGAACTTCCCATCTCTGGAGTCGAGCTTCTCCAGCTCCCGCTCCAGCTCCTCCTCCTTTTGGTGCTTCCTGAGGTTGGTTGCTCTCTCCTCTTCCCGCCACTTGGCATTTTCCATCATTTCCTGGCGTTTACGCTCTAGTTCCTCTGGAGAGATCTTTCTGTCATGTTGAAAACATCTCTGCTGTGAATCAAGAGCACGCTGGGCACCACCCCCCTTTGCTTTCCATTCTTCATGATTTACAACCCCCAAACCCAGGGTTTTTCCTTTGGGAGCCAGTCAGTCAGTACAGGTCTACATGTTCTGCTTTACCACCCCCCTAAAACAACAAGAGTCTGGTTTATCCCTCTTTTCAGCCTTCTTGGTTTTAAGATGATGCTGTCAAGGTCCTATTTTCCTGTTGGCAGTAAACCAGAACATTTCTAATTAACAATCCATGGGACAAAGACTGACTTCATGTCACTGCTTTGCACAGTGATGTGAGACACATGGAGAACCAACACCACGAGGTTCAGGAAGGTGGCTGAGGCGGTAACTAACAGTCAAGCTCCAGAGCACAAAACAGAGCACTTCAGGACTGTGTGTCTGACTTTCTGGATGTTTGATCCAATCTATTTTAGTTAACAGAGGAAAATCTGGTTCACAGGTTACACCTGCAATCACCAGAGCAACTTCCATCCAAAAGCACAAGGACAAGATCTCACCTTGTGTAACCCTGAGTCTGCTGTCGTCGGTAGCTCTTTTTAGGGGAAGGGCTTCTGGCTCTCCCTTTCTCCTCCCGGTTGCTGTGCCTGTAACCCAGGAATACCCTTAGTAGGACAGACACACACATGACCACGCCTCTAAACACCTGGATTGTTTCTATGCATTTGGAAACTAAGGTAACTCTCACAACTGCAGGACTCTTACCTCTCAAAGCAAATTCTAGTGGCTGTTAGTACACTGTGAATTCCCATCTATTTTTACTCAGTTTCAATCACTTCAGCAAACAATAAATCCCTGATTTTATCAGCATTTAGTCAAGATAATTCAACAAGTCTAAATACCTTTTAAAGGGAATCAGAAGGCCAAATGCAGCACAGCCACAGGCAACACCTAAAGCGTGTTGCTAAACAGAGGGTGTCCCAAATGAAGAGTGCAAAGAGAGCATGTCCCCACTAGGAGCTGACCTGTGTGCTTCTGCTCCCTTCAACAGCAGAGCAGCTCTGGCCTTTACACCCTGAACCCAGCAATAACATGGATAGAAAGTGGTAGGAGACCGAGTAAGAGGGATTTTGACTGTCCCCCCATGAGGAGCCTGTGGTTTACCCCACCCAGGTCAGCCGCACTCACTGTTTGCTGTGTCTTAGAGGGGATCTTGAGCCCCTGCATCCAGCCTGCTCTGAATTCTTCTTGCTCGAGCGGGACCGACTCCTGGACCTGGAGCGATCCCGGTGCCTGTGGGACACCCTCTCCTGGGTGGCAACTGGAGAGCTCCGAGACCTGTGGCTCTGGTCAGAGTCTCTAACCTGGAATTGAGAAGTGTTTTCAGGAGACATGTCCTGTAAGAGCACAACAACAGTGTAAGGCCACAGAGAAGACCTCTGCCAAGGCAGTCGAGCAGAGTATTTGAACACAGGGATAGTGATGTGAAGCTGAACCCGAATTCAGAGCAGACAAAAGTCCTACCAGGATGTGAACAACTTCAGCTTCAAGGTCTAGATAGCTCCAAATTGAATCCAAACTTTATGATACCATGTGCCCCTCATAATCCTCTTGCAGTCCGTGAAGGAGTCTCACAACAAACTGCCAAAACTCTTCTTCTTCCCTAGCTCAGGGCTCCTGCTACTGAAAGAGTTGTGCAAAACACATGTACTTACTTGTAAGCCATATCCTGGGACTCTGGGAGGAGCAGGTCTCCAGGAGGAACTGTTCATCCTCTTCTGAGACCTAAAGAGAAAACAGAACAGTGCTTCTGAAGCAGAGGAAACTCAAAAATACCATCCCCCCCCCCCCAGTTTAATGATGCAAACCCAATGAAGTAACAATACAGAAAGATTTAGGCTAATGAAGAGTGTTAAGTAGAAAGATAAGACTCAAAGAGAGGATTTGATGTGGAAACCACCAAATAACCAGGAAACAAGGTACTTTCAGTGTCAAACCTCCAAACATACTTCGTTTTGCTTCGCTCCTCCTCACTGCTGTCACTTCCACTGCTGGAGCTGCGCCGTCGGTGCTTCTTGTGCTTCTTCTTCTTCTCTTTCTTCTTCTTTTTGTCTTTTTTATCTAAACTGTTTTGCAGCTACAAAGCAAGACACCAGTTGCTCGGTCAGAATTACTGGCACTGCACCTGGGGAGCACAAGGTAAGGAACAGAGCTCTCCCTGCAAAGGCTCCTGAAACAAAACCTGAAGCATTAAACAAGGTCCCCCCCTCAGAACTATAGAGCTTAAGGGAGTCCTCCCTAATGACAGCTTGGGATCAGTGCATGTCACACCCTACATCTGCAATCACCCTGCAGTACTAAATCAATGATCACCAGCTAACAAACCTAAAGCACATCAGAAGAGTAAAACAACACTGAACTTGAAAGGAGGAGAAATTAATTCCTGCAGACAGAAGGATTTAGACCCTTGTTCGATTCTATCAGGATTACAGAAAGCTGAGTTTATTCTGGTTTTCTGTGAAGAGTCAGGAAATAAAGCTCAGCTCCTTATCCTAAAAGGATACTGGTTTTGACCTATGAGCCTCTCCTTGGTTCAGTGCATTCTGTGCCTTGAGTCTGTAAATGGGCACTGAGATACACCTACCAGTTCCTTGATTTTCTTCATTTTCACAGGATTATTCAGCACTTCTCTCTTCTTTTCCTCCTCTTTCTTCCTAAAAGCAGAGCAAAAATAACCAGGATTTTCAAACAACTGAAAATATCAGCTTTTCATAAATGATACCAATTCAGAGCAAACTCTACAAACATATAAAGCAGAAAAGTTGTGTACATTCAAAGCAGATCCAGCTAAGGAGGTGTCTGCCCTTTTCTCCTCCACTTAAGAGTGCAACTAGTAGGGAAACCCCAAAGCTGTTCTGTTACCATCAGTGTGCCCATGACACTAAGAAATACCTGATCTCTCACAGCAGAGCAGTCTTCACAAAGATAAATAAGACATTTCTTAGGCAGTTGCTACTTCTGGTGTTTTGCCTCATCTACTACTGCTTTCAAGTCTACATTTAGTACCTTATCATGAAAAGCGGATCCTCCCGGATTTTGTTTGCCATATCCAGGACAGAATTGGCACCTGACTTGGCAAAAATGGAGCCTGGGAGAAGTCCTGTCTCGTTGGAACAGCCTGCATCCTTGTCTTCCATCTTCTCAAAGATGAATTTGTCCACGGGGCGACCCATGAGATACTCCTCTCTGTTCACCATGCCTCCAGGACCCTGGTACATCCACTCCAACTTCTCTTCTCTTTTCCTGTTGCAAACAAGACCATCTTATTCCCTTTCTCAAGCTTCTAAAGTTACATTTTAAGGCAGTGGCTTACGAAGGAGACTGAAAACGTCTTTCTAACCTCAAAACCACTCTAACCATAGAATGGTTGGGGTTGGGGATGGTCCAGTTCCACCCCCCAGAGACATTAAACCCGCTTTCAGGGGCACATGCAGCAGCTCGTCACCCCAGGGTGAGTTACGAGCAGCACCTCACCTCACGGTGCCCATGTCCTCGGCGTATCGCTGCATCTCCTCCCGCGCCCGCTCCTCCTGCAGCTCCCGCTGCAGCTCCTCGATCTTCTTCCTCTCGGCTTCATGCTTCTGCTCGGCTTTCCACACCTTCTCCACATTGCGCAGGGTCTGCGGGTGCCAGCTCTTCTTCAGGTTCTGCGGGAGGGGAGAGACACCGCACGGCGCCCTTAACAAAGAGCCG